CCAAAGATCGTTGAATGGACGTAATTTGCGTTATTTCAATGTTTGTTTTTTACACTTCAAGGTAACGTCAGTACCAGAGAGCACTTGACTGACCAATCGGATGTGGTAACTTTATTATAAATTGAAAGAATCCAAGCAAACGAACAAGGGTCTCGTTTCTGAGTCACGTAAAGAAATTGACTGATATTCTTTTAATGTTTTAAATAAGTTTAATACGTATATTTCAAGATATATTTCAAAACTATTTTACCAGCCAGGTAAGTTTGGTAACATAATAAATTTCTAATTGTTTATCATTAACGACTTATATATCTAAATTACGCATTCTCCCCGCTTTCAAATGTTTGAGACTGGGAAATTTCATGTCTGCAGGATCATTTTACAGTTAGGAGGTCAAGCTTTCAACAAATATTCAAGATTAGAACGTATTTACATATTTATCTTCAACATCTTTCACTTTGTATCAATAAATTACAGCTCGGAAATTCTATCCTCGCAGCGGATACAAGAGAAAGTAAAGAAGTATTGTGCATTTTATTTATATGCTGTGGTTTCACAAGTGGACAATGCAAACACTATGTTAAAGGTAAGTTATTCAAAAGCTCGCACTTATATGGTAAGAAAATTCAAGTTATAAATATTTTATGAATTTCAAATCATGATGTTTTAAGTCGTGAAGTTAATTCATTATGCCTAACATGTATTTTTTTAAAACAGTCTTTTGTGCAATATCTTTCGCAAGCTGCTAGATTCTGTTACATTTGTTTTATAACTATTCCCGCGACGTGATTTTTCAATACATTTTGCTTTATTGATTCTTTGACAGCCTCTATATCAGAAATTTCAATGATATCTTTACCAAATGTTACAAGCGCATCTCTACAATCATGGATTTCTTAGAAACGCCTGTAGGGGCTTGATTTATGGATATACAAGAACAATTTGCATTAAAAAGCGAAATTAAATATCGATTTCAATATAAGTTGCATTCTTAAAATATCACATTATTAAATAGACGTCTGAATTAGTTATAGGTTTTGTCTCTTAATATGTTTGAAAAACATATGTGATGAATTAGAAAACCATAAATGAGAGTAAAAAATATCTCATAAAAAATGATACTGATTATGTTTTAAAAGTTGTAGATTATGAATACCTTCATCTTATATGAAACTTTCCTTTGATGTGCGCTGTAAAAAATATACTCAATTAAGACTATAAAATTATCTCTTTTCTTCAAAAACAACATAAGTTCTCGGGGCTGTAATCCGTGATATTTCTGTCATCTCAATAATTTATAAATAGTTTAGTAATAAATGGAGTAAAAACTCCCGAGTCAGTTTATACATGATGGTGATTATAACGTTTTTATAAACATAGTGTCGGTGGAAATGATCCCGAATACATCTATCTACCTTTTTATACTTAATGTATCTTAGGACACCTAGAAGCGATTTATAAAGATATTTTGCTGGCACGGGTGAAATTTCATTATCAGCAGAAAGAATTTAGAGTGTTTTTTTCTCTTTCTCTTTTTTGTATATCACTTTTTGTTGATGGGGGAGAAAAGAACAATTTGAGCTCAGGTAAATGTTATTTGCAACAATCGTATTTGTGTTTTATTTCCTCTAACAAACTGTTTACAATTTATTACTTAGTTTTATAGGACGAACATTCCAGAAAAGACGTAAAAGTTCAATCTTTCTTCCAAGCAGCGGAAATGTTCAACAAAATGCCATCTTTTGGTGAGTGAGTTTAAATTTTAGGGTGTCATAAATAGAAATAAAGGAAAAAATCAGCAGAATTTTTTCCCTTTTTCACATAACAGTAAAAGAAAATGTAAAATAACGTTCAAGTAAACCAAATCGATACGCTCAAATTAAATTTGCCTCAGCTTTTAAAGAAAAAATTCCCTTTTATTTCTTTAAGGGATTATTATAAAAACTTGTATTTCTTTCACAAAGACTTTTTTGTAGCAGAATGAAAATGTGTGCTTTCTTACAAAAATTTAAATCCTTTTACCAACCCGTAGTAGTAGGTTTTTGTCTGGGCCAAAAAAACCCGTCTTTAAAGTTTGTTTTTAACAAAAAAAAACCCTTGGGAATGGGAATCTATCCCAAAGGTGATAAATTTCATCAACTGATGGAAAAATAAAATTTTTAGGAAAAAACAACTATAAAAACAAAAAATGCTTGGGGGGGAAAAAAAACAACACAAAACATAAGCGAGTGAAAACAATCAAATGAAAAAATAAGAAAAAAAGCGATTGTCGAGTGAAAAAAATAATAAAGTCGAATGAAAAAATACACAAAAGACAGTAAGGAGTAAAGTGAAAATAGCGCACGAAAAGTACATTACTTCTGAGATTTTGGGAATGTATGTGATTATGTATGAGAATTGTTCTTCATTAGAAAAAACGGTGCCATGTTTCTTTATATTAGTAACATATTACAAATAAATAAATCGTTTGACAATGGGAAAAAATCTCGTTGAAACTTAACATTTATCAAACGCGATCATCAAGTGCTAAATTATTCCCATAAGAGTAACAGATGGAATATGGATTTTACATGTGTGTGGTAAATTGAGTATTGATGAGAAGTAAGGTAATCAACAAAACATAATGTCATAGTTAAATATTCATAATACTTTGATAACAAAAAACACAAAGTCATAATAAACCTTGAAGACTTCAATACTGCAAAATTTAAAACGCTGGAATTAGGCCAACCGGTGTCATTGTTTTTTCTTATCATTTGTCATAAATAAATGTTTATATGTGTTATTCAAAAGTACTTTATTCCGTGAATGCTGTCATATATTGTTGCAGATTAAGCATGGTTTACGAGTATTATGAGAATATTTTCGAAAATGAAGCCAAAAAATTCTCTCAAAGATAAACTCCAGAGACATCCTGGCACTCTACTTAGCTTGGAACATTTGTCAATAAATGTGTAAATAAAAAGAAAAAGTGCATGTATATCTTAAATACACGACGAGTAAAAATATGGAAACAACAAAACTTTTTCGAATTAAGTATCAATACAAAAAATGAAAAGTTTAAAAGCCTGACAAGTACTGAAATATTCATGTTCAGTCTAAAACTCTTCTATAGAGCGTTTAATTTCATTATTCAATTTGGCATGGCTTTTGTCTTTATATATAGGACCAGTAAAATGTGTTTCTATATTCTTGTGTAATTTAAGCAGGACGAACTCCATATTTATCGGACTAGGACAACAGGTTAAGATCCTAAAGGCATTTACAGGCCCTTGCTATCCGGTTCTAGTAGCGTTATTCTCAAACATAAAGCCAGTTACTTAAGCTAACCTAAAATTGTTCAACATGACACACAAAAAACTAGCAGGGCGGCTAGCCGGTATTTTATCATGTAACGTATCTTAGATTTAAAGCCATGATATTTACATTTTGATAGCTGTATTATGTCCAATCTATTAATCATTTAGAACGATAATCCCCATAATCCCTATCATATACTGTATATAGGCGACTGTCCTTCTTATACAGGTGCAATCTGCGACAGATTTAAATCAATTTTGCTTTAAAGGGTATTATACATCTCCCCCGTAAAATATTTGCTTTGTCACAATATACATCCATATTTTATCAAATATCAAATAAAGCGAAAAAATGTACCTTTGATCGCCGCGCTTTGATTACAAACGGATAAAATTTAAAAAGAAAGTTAAATCAATTTACAAGTGTTAAAATGTTTGTCATTATCTGTTAAAAGAATGTCTAAATGTGGGTATTCTCCTGTGTGTCACATCGTAATCTTCCTCTACAAGTCTGCAGGTTTAGAAATGACTAATATGGAAACATTTTGCCAAGATTTCCGATGGGATAAAAACAGGATCATCTTGAAACCTTAAAAAATACTTGACAACAAATTTACACCTTATTTCTTACAAATTACGTTTTATACAAACAAATACCACAAGGTCTCTAGTAAGCTAAAACCTGTTACTTCTCACCGACGCAGGGACGTACCCTTAAAAAAACATGGTAACATCAGAAGAAAGAAAAAAAAAACGTTATCGATTCAAACTTATTTTTCTAATAAAGCTATTGATGCAATTAAGGAGGTATTGGTAGTGGTTTGATGTCCGTTATGGTAGTAATAAACTGTTAATAAACCTGTCACATGAACCGTCTCTCAACACATAAAACATATGTCACTACATACACCAGAAATATCTTCTCTACTTAACACCATCGGCTGATTGAAAAATTAATATAACAATGTACATGTAGCTTTTTATTATCGATTATTGCTTGTAAAGTTGTTATTTTAGACTAAGTGAAAAATACAGTGTGTGGCAACGTATGCATTGTGTAATTTTACTATTATACATGTCGAATTGGATCTTCTTTTTATCACTTATTTGCTCTGATGTATTGATTGCTAATTTGTTTACTTTGTAATTTCTTCACACTATAATGTTGATAATAACATCTTCACAGCATGAACTTTCCAATACTCTCACATAGCACAGTAGTTTCTGGGGCTAGTTTGGATTACTAAACCTAACTTCTTAGTCTAATGTAGTCTAATCTATTGTTATTATGTTTATTTTTAAAATATTTTCTTGATTTTTATTTAAGATTATGTTTTTGGCCCTGGTATATATATTGTAGCGCACGTGCTATTTATATACCTCCACGTGCCAAAAATTAGCACCAACAGACGGTAGAGAAGGAAATAATTAGCTTGATTGTAACTATTACATTTTATCTTTGCAACATTGTACATGTGCTTGTAATGTTAATATATAATCTTACACAATGTGTTGTTTAATGGAAGCTCATACCTTGATGATGATAAAGGACATATATTATAATTAATGAAATTCCTGAAACCTGACTGGTACCAGCATTTCATTTTAGAGTGATTATTTTGTGTTCATTAATTAAACCAGTCACTTAATGTTGCTGCAACTTGCTTATGAATAATTATGTAATAAAACTATCAAACTTACCATATACGAATGAAATGTAGGCAGAACACAAATATATCCAAAAGAATAATTCCATATTTTCGAATGGACTCGGTCACTTGACAAATAAAACGAGTGTTTTTTCCATTTATATACAAGATGGGTTATATTTTTGTCTGAAGAAGGTAACACAATGTTTTAAGTCCACTGACACGGGGCGGCTTTAAACACCCAATACAATAATAAACCCTTTTAAAAAAAATCCAGGAAATAAAGGGCTAAAAAATACAGTTTTAAGTTTTGGGGTTTAAAGATAGGGGTTTAAATAAGAAAATAAAGAGCTACCTAGCCACGAGTTTTTTTTATTACCGAGTGTAGTTTTTAACATTTTCAAAGGGGTTTTTTTATAAATTTTATATAGAAATTCAAATTCACTTTTTCCCTCTGGCTTCAAATGTTATAGTTTTATGTATATGCGGTAATACAGTAACAGGTTTAAAAACACCGAAATAGACAACCAAACTGTTTACCATATAGAACATACGCTAGTCATACTGTTAAAGTAAGTACTAACTTTAAACATTATATAGTCCATCGTCTCGCTTATACCATTGTGTTTGTTTTGAGATTTACACTGATACGGAAATGTCATGCGTAAAAAATATCCACTGTTGAATATATATATCTTTCACTTTTCCGTTTACATTATCCCTTTCTGTTAAGTTTTCAAATCCTTCACTCTTAATCACCTCCTGTCAAAAAACAAGACGTGTTGATACATTAACACAGAATTTTTGTTACTGGCTATTTATACTACTGCAACCTCTTCATAAATGATGCTATTTACTTCTACAATATTCTCTTCTCTTACTGAAGCGATACAGCTACTATACAAGCAGAAGGCGTTACTCTAACAGCGGTTGTGGGAGGGTCGATTTTCTTGTGATTCACGCGCGCACGTTGTAATTATCAGCAGATCAACACTAATTTGCAATTCAATTAGGGCATTTTTGGATCGATACTGATTATGAGGTTTAAGGGTTTTCAATTTGCTTCCTGCATACGTGTGAGGGAATTAACGTTAATGAAGAAACAAATATAATGCAGGTTTAACATCTTCGGCATGTCAGTATTGGTGCAGTGAATTGGAAAATGGGCGGAGTTGTAATTAGCGATCGTGCGTGTGGCAAAATATCAATGAACCATGCAACTGGGTAATAGATAATATCTAAAGGACTTATAATCGCCCATGTATTGATGTGTATCTATCTATGATATCTAAATAACTATTGTTTATTACTTTTACCACTGAATCTTTATAATATTGATATATCCCTTTTCTAGACTCATTATTACACACGATTAAAAGCATTATATCATAATTCAATATAAATAGGAATAAACATCTGATAACTTATTTTCTTTATATAGAATTCATAATCAATAATATGTCATTCTAACTGGAAACAAAAAAATATTGTTAATTGTATATTATTGACAGGGTTGAGTTCAATCTTTGTTTTAAAGCTAGATTTTGTTCTAATAATTAACAAAAAAGATAACTACGCATCGTGCAAGTCATTATAATTAATTTCTTATAATAATGATAAAAAAGAACACAACAACACAGTCATAAACAATGTTCATCTATGTTTTATAAGGAGAAGTATTCTAGACTCTTATTACGCGAGATTTATTGTACAGCATATGAATTATTTTCGCTGTGTTCAAATATATCATAAGAAATATGACATGTGACACCAGAAAACTGAGAAAACATGATTAAAACTGGCCAGTAGGGTGTCCCTGCATAATTCATTTACTATCCGAATCATATGTCGAGTTTCCGTATTGTTTATGTCACGTGCTGTCAAAAATAGATAGCAACAATTATATCCTTCTCTTGTACTCCAATAACAGAAATATGATCACTTACTATATCGAATATCGAATACACCAATATTATATAAAAAACAGAACAACAAAAGTTAGATATTTGTATTTGTCTACACAACTGTACAAAACAAATAATTCTGCTACTATAAATAACAATGTTGCAAAACACATAGCTCTTATCATCTGCTATCCAGCTAGCTTACGGAACGTCGGTGGTTCTAGTTAGGTGCCCGTTCGTGCCTGACATAATGCACGGAAGGGCACCCGAGGTCTTCCTCCAACGTCGCGATATGACCTATACTGTGTCGATGTGACGTAAAACCCAAAACAAACAAAAAAAATCTTATCATTTGTTGTTATTATTTTCTGGTTAAATTATTTTTTAAAAATGTGTTTAAAAATCATACTAAATGAGAAATGTTAGAAAATTTGATTAAGTATGCTTAACAACAATATCAACAACAACAGCAACAACACAAAACAACAACAACACAAAACAACAACATCAACAGCAGCAGCAGCAGCAGCAGCAGCAGCAACAACCAATAATAAATTCTCTTTTTATAAAGATAAATTCATTGTATTATCAGTAAGCAATGTTATAATACTTGTATATTTATAAATGTTACCATATATTCATCATTGTAGATATTTTAAGACACATTAAGCCCCAGAAATGAATATTTATTTATTTTCTGTATTAAAGGCAAACATGTGTTTTATAATGTTGTAATATAATATAATGTTTTATAATGTTGTAATATAATATAATGTTTTATAATGTTGTAAAATTTGTGATAATGGTTAGAATATAGTCATTTGTGGGCGATTTAAGAAGGATAAATAGTGAAAATGTGATGTAAAGAGTTCTTTGCTGTATAATAATATTATTGTGAATGGAAATATACATGGGATAACATTGTAGCAGTAAGACTCTTTTCTGTATCTATATTCAAATTGTTGTTTAAGTTCGCGCGTTTATGTGTTCATGGATTAAAGGTGGGTCACGCTGATTTTTTTCTTAAATAGCCTGAGGCGATAACGGCTCTCCTATTGTGTTGTTTAATGTGATCTATGGTATACAGTTTATTGAAACATTCCGAGACAGTGATTGTTTGTTATGACGGAGAGTACAATGGCTCAACTGAAAGACTGTTATAACGGTCAGTGTCACCCGTTTCTGTTACGTTATGGAGCAGAAGACAGTGACAGCACATCCAACCTATCGGAATGTGATCCGAATGAATTTCCGGTCATAAGGGAATATAGAAATATCTTGAATTCATTTCGATCGTTTCCAAGAGACATGTTTGTTACGCAGATTCTTCGAGATTACCACTCTAATGAACAAGAGTTAGATCGTATTAGAACTGAATACTTTGAACACTTAAAGACAACTCATGTTGGCTTTCCATTTGGTTCTGATGCGGAATTAAAGCGACGCGTGAGCACACGAACAGGAGATCCAGTGGCAATCAAACTTGCCCAGGATATTCATACAATTATAGACGTTGTACAGGGAGGCGACCCTATCAGTCTTAAGCAACTTATCAGTAATTGCAAGTCCAGGAAATCATCAGTATCAGCGATACCGAGAGAGAGATCAAACAATATTTCAGCCAGTACATTAAATTCATGCTCCTGTAAAAATGAACTAACATTAGTAAAAGAAATGGTCTCTAGCATTCAGGCGGACATTTTGCTATTGAAACAATCGTACCATGCAAATGAGAGAGTACGTTCAGAACAGACTAAGTGTGTAAATTCGAATGTCAGAATTATACGGGAAGATATTATGAAATGCAATCACGGAATTAAAAAATGTCATTTGGACACTGAACATACGATGAGAAGTTTGACGTCATCTTTGATGCAACGCATAATAGAATTAGAAGACAGAATTAGACTTCTAGAGAGTTTTTTAGAAACAGAAGAGATAGTCACAATCTCGAGTTTAAATAAAAACACATTCTACGGCGAGAATAATGCCATATTACATGATGAGAACATCGAATCTGATGACGTCACAAATAATGCAGAGGACAATATTCACCCCTCCTACACCAATCCAAACTCACATTCTGATGACAATCTTCAGCAAGAGTCTTCTAAAATTGACGGAAACAGTGCCTCTTCCGCAGCCTCTTTTTCAACTCTCGTTGAAAAATCAGTAGGACAACAAATCCCTGTACTTATAACTACACGATCTGTACATATGAAAGAGAAAGTTGATGACGACGGCTTTATAATCAGACAACGGAGAAGGCCAAAGCGATTCTTTGTTCTTGGGTTAAGTGAAAAAGTTAATTTAGACCTATTAATGTCAGATATTAACTCTATAGGTCCAAAAGTGTCAAGTGTGCGTGTGTTTCCTATCCGACGAAATCCTTCAAAAGTAAGAATTAAGCTCAATATCCATGCCGACAGTAATGCTGACATTGTTCTCAATAAAGGTTTTTGGCCGCATTATGTATCATGCATGCCTTGGGAATCGCAGCCAATTAACTTAAACCAACGGCTCGAAACACAAGACATATCTGCTAGGCTACGAAACTTGAATGGACGGCAGCGACTAAGACTCGAAACAAATAGACGATTTGAAAGAGCTAATTCTGGACTGGATCATCCGAACAGATATAAAATGCTAGTAAATGAGATTTAATAGGCCTGCGGGATTTAGGCAGTGTTAATTGAACTATTATTGTTAAAGCATGTCAGCTTCTTCTTTAAATCTATTGACATGGAATGTCACAGGAATAATGTCCAGTGCATCAGTCTTATGTGATATAATTACAGAAGGAATTATTGACTTTTGCGGGGTTTCTGAACACTGGCTTTCACCATACAATATACACTTTTTAGGTTGTTTATCAAGCGATTATTATAAGCTACCACGCAGTATGTGATAATGACTTATTGACATTCAATCATCAAAGAAAAGTTGGCAAGGGAGGTGTAGCAATTTTCTGGCGTAAAAAGTACAATAGTGTGGTTGTGCCTCTTGTGATTGACAGTGATCGTATAGTAGGTATACAGTTTGAGTATTCACCGGGACAGTATATATTTATATTTCAGGTTTACCTCCCTTGTTCGAATCATAGCATTGAAAACTATCGTTTGTGTATTGATAAGATGTTTGAATTATTTTACTTGTATGGTGAGAAAGGCTTAACAGTATTTATGGGAGATTTTAATGCTCGATTATCTGGTACACACTCTCAAACAAGAGATAAATTGTTAAGAAAATTTCTTCATGACTGTAATTTGAGTGCTGTAAATGATTTTACCGGTAAAGACAATACATTTGTATCTTATGA